GATTTTATAATTATCAAATATTTTACATAGGTTTTAATGAAATGTACTTTACCTTCGGGAAGTATAAAATAGAAGATGATTTTTGTACTCCTCTAAATTGATTTCACTGGTCACCATGGACAGAGCAAGTATCATCAGAAGTAAATGCAGATTTATTCAATTCAAAGTGTGTAAATTATGTTATCTTTTTAAATTTTCATATCAGAAAAATGACTACCCCCATGCTAATGCTTACTTTCATCACAATAATAAGGTAGGCGAAATATTTTGGTCTTTGAATTTATATTTTATAGATAATATGTATATAACGATTACATGTAAATACACATACATGGCTTAAGGCCAGGTGCAGTGGTTCATACCTATATCTTAACACTTTGAGAAACTGAGGCAGAAGGATCACTTGAGGCTAAGAGTTTGAGACCAGCCCAAGCAACATAGAGAGACCCTGTCTCTATAAAAAAAAAAAAAAAAATTACCCAGGTGTAGTGGTTTGTTCATGCCTGCAGTTCCAGCTCCTCAGGAAGCTGAGACAAGAGGATGGCTTGAACTCAGAAGTTTGAGGTTATAGTGAGCTGTGATGATACTACTGCACTCTAGCCTGGGCAACAGAGCGAGACACTGTTTCACAAAAACATAAATAAGTAAATAAATAAGTAAATAAGTAAAAACATAAATAAGTAAACATAAATAAGTAAATGAGTAAATAAGTAGATATAGGCATGAGCCACGTGCACATACATAAGTGATTTATATTTTCAATGATTTTAGAAGATTTTTTTTTTTTTTTTTTTTTTGAGACAGAGCCTCAAGCCGTCCCCCTGGGTAGAGTGCCATGGCATTATAGCTCACAGCAACCTCCAACTCCCGGGCCCAAGCGAGTCTCCTGCCTCTGCCTCCCAAGTAGCTGGGACCACAGGCGCCCGCCACAACGCCCGGCCATTCTCTGGTTGCAGCCATCATTGTTGTTTGGCGGGTCCGGGCTGGGGATTCGAACCCGCCACCCTAGGTGTACATGGCTGGCGCCTTAGCCGGTTGAGCCATAGGTGCCGAGCCAGAAGATTTTTTTTTTTGAGACAGTCTCACTTTGTCACCCTCGGTAGAGTGCTGTGGCCTCATAGCTCACAGCAACCTCCAACTTTTGGGCTCAAGCAATTCTCTTGTCTGAGCCTTCCAAGTAGTGGGGACCACAGGCACCTGCCACAACGCCCAGTTATTTTCATAGACGGGGTCTCACTCTTGCTCAGGCTGGTCTCGAACCTGTGAGCTCAGGCCTCCCAGAGTGTTAAGATTACAGGCTGAGCCACCACACCCAGCCCTAGAAGTTATTTCATTATTAATTAAAGACAAAAACTTTTCTGCTGTAATTTGTAGCCACAGCTTGATATTTAAAAATAAATTTACCAGTTTTCTCTATGCTTTCTTTCTTAACTTCCCTCTCACCTCAGCACTCCTTCCATAATCCCTTTTGACTGGGACTTCAGGTTCCAATAGATTCCCCTACAGAAAGTCTCCTGGTAACAAGTGCGTGGGCAAACCTCAAGTGAAGGGAGATTATTTGTATAAGATTGTACAGTTAGGTGGTAGAGCTGGCCAAGACCCAGACCTTCTGAATGCTAAGCTGAACTTTCTCCCTAACCTTGGTACTTTCCCCAACCTGACAGCACACCCTTGATACAAAACAGCAAAACATGCACCTGTCCCATGGAATGGCTAAGGGAGAAGGTATAGACAAAGTTTACTCCACTTCCCCTTCTCATGAGAATTCTACTTTCAATAGACTCTCCAGATTTGTTCTTCTAGTATCCTGATGGGGGTGCAGGTATGTCAACTGTGTTACTAAGCAATTTTAACTATGTAAGGTAAAAATCATCCCTGATTGGTAAATTGCATCTGGACTGGGAAGAACTGTAAATTATTAAAACCTTTTCTGATCCTCTGTTGGATTTCCTTCGACATGATTTTCCTGGGCCACTCTGATGTCAGAAGAGCTCTGACATGGTAATATGCAAACCTGCAACAAACAGCGGGAAGGTTTACAGTGATGACGATCCTGTGAAGTTCCCATCCTCTGTCATGCAACAGGGATTCTGCCTCCCTCAAAGTGCTTGGCCAAAATATTTCCAACTCTTTTCTCAGATGATCTTACTGGTGAAATTATAACTGTGATATACATGTATGCAGCTGAGAAAATACAGAAGGTGACCCCACTAACAAAATACTCAATGTGGCACTCGTGGAAGGATAATTCACCAGAAGAAATGAAAACATTCTTTGGTGTGATATTGAACATGGCTCTGAATTTGAAGGCGCCATTGGTTGACTACTTTACCAAAGATTGGCTAGACTGACCCCTATTCTTCAAGGATGTTTTCTCTCTTCTCCAAATATTTTTCCAAATATTTTGGATGCTGTATTTAGTTCCTCCTGTCACAGCCCAAGGGAGTGTGCGTACCCGAGGGAGCAAGGTGAAGAATGTTAGTGAGCGTATTGACAGTAAATGCAAAAAACTTTCTGTACCAGGAAGAAATGTGGCTAGAGATGAGAGCACAGTAGGTTTCAAAGGAAGGATTCCAGTCAAGTGCTACAATCCGAAGAAGCCTACAAATTTAGGCTTACAAATATTTTGCCTGTGTGATTCAGAAAATGGTTATATGTTTTCTCACGTTCCCTGTTATGGCAACACAACAACAGAAAGTCTTAGTCATCCTGATTCGCCATTTACATCTTGAATAGTGATTCATTTGGCACAAGTTTTGCAAAGGACATCAAAGTGGTTCAGGCTGTCACATCTACACTGACAGGTTGCTCAGGAATTACATAAAATGAAAATACACATGACAGGAACAGTTATGGCTTCTAGGAAGGATTTTCAAAGTGTTCTAAAAAAGAAGAAACTTTAGGAATATGAATTATGAGCCTATCAATGTGATATGAAAATGGTATGCCTCTCATTCCATGACAAGAAGTTAGTGACAATGCTAAGTACATTCTATGGTCCTCAAACACAGTTGATCACTGGTTATAGGAAGAAACAGCCTGTAGAGTTTGAAAAACTGACAGTGATTTTAGAATACACAAAGTGGACAGAGCTGATCAGTACTGTGGATATTACAGATTTACAAATAGGTCCTACAAAGGGTGGAAAAAAATATTCTTCTGGCTCTTGAAAGCAGCAGTTGTGAACAGCTACATCCTTTGCTCTTTAGATAAGGAGAGTGGAGAAAAAGTGCAGACTCACCTTTCTTACGGAAAGATGTCTCCACTCAGCTTGTGAGCAATGTGAGAATAGAAATTCATGAAAGTGGGGAAGACCATCATCTTCTGACACTGAGGAAAGGGAAGATGTATTTTATAATGCACAGTGAAAATAAACAACAGAGGATCACATGTATGGCAGAAGAAATGAGAAAGGTGGCAGGAGAGAGACCATTTCCTACTGTGAGGCATGCAAGGGGAAGCCCGGACTCCATCCCGGAGGTGGCTTCAAGAAGTATCACACTCAAAAAATTTATAAACAAAAATACTTTAACTTTTAACCGTAATCTAAAATAGATAATAAAATCATCAAGTGAGCTCATATTTAGGTTTTAATCTTTAAAAACTGCAGGATAATTACAAGTAATCTACTAACTTCATTCCTGCCCCAAATAAATAAGAGCTGGGGAGTGTGCAGATAACTGAAAAACTGGATTGGGAAGGGTTTAAATACCTAATAGGAAACTGTAACTTTGAGTGCCTGTGAGGGCACTGACTTCGGTAACTGGGTAAATCCATTGTGAGGACCCTGGAAACTGTGCCTTGAAATTATTACAAAATATTCTGGGCTCGGCGCCTGTGGCTCAAGGGGCTAAGGCGCCAGCCACATACACCTAAGGTGGCGGGTTCGAATCCAGCCCCGGCCCGCCAAACAACAATAATGGCTTTAACTAAAAAGTAGCCCGTCATTGTGGTGGGCGCCTGTGGTCCCAGCTACTTGGAAGGCAGAGGCAAGAGACTCGCTTGAGCCCAGGAGTTTGAGGTTGCTGTGAGCTTTGATGTCACAACACTCTACCCAGGAGGACAGCTTGAGGCTCTGTCT